GAGAGAGAGAGAGAGAGAGAGAGAGAGAGAGAGAGAGCAAGAGAGAGAGAGAGAAGAGAGAGGACAAAGAGAGAGGAGAAGAGGAGAGAGAGAGAGACAAGAAGAGAGAGAGAGAGAGGAGAGAGAGAGTGAGGGAGAGAGAGACAAAGAAGAGGAGAGAGAGAGAGAGAGACAGAGAGAGAGAGAGAGAGAAGAGACAAAGAGAGAGAGAGAGAGAGAGAGAGAGAGACAAAGAGAGAGAGAGAGAGAGACAAAAGAAGAGAGGAGAGAGAGACAGAGAGAGAGAGAGAGAGAGACAAAGAGAGAGAGGAGGAAGAGAGAGACAAGAGAGAGAGAGAGAGAAGAGAGAGAGAGAGAGAGAGACAAAGAGAGAGAGAGAGAGGAGAGAGAGGAGAGAGACAAAAGAGAGAGAGAGAGAGAGAGAGAGAGAAGGAGAGGAGAGAGGAGAGAGAGAGAGAGAGAGAGAGAGAGAGAGAGAGAGAGAGAGAGAGAGAGAGAGAGAGAGAGAGACAAAGAGAGAGAGAGAGACAAGAGAGAGAGAGAGAGACAAAGAGAGAGAGAGAGAGAGAGAGAGAGAGAGAGAGAAGGAGAGAGAGAGAGAGAGAGAGAGGAGAGAGAGAGAGAGAGAGAGAGAGAGAGAGAGAGAGAAACATTTTACTTTGAACACGGATGACAGCCACATTACATCTGGACTTTCTTTGTTTCATGTGCATACCTGAGCCACTTGATGCCATGATATCAGGAAGAGACTCTCTGTATACATGGTTGACATTGCTTCTGCAAAGCTATGTAGCTCTCGATCTAAGAAGAATATTCTGTAAATATAGTATATTCTAAAAACACCTAAAACTTCAAAAAGGAATATTACTATTTCATAGAATTACTCTTTTCTCAATATGGTATATCAATATAATGTATTAATTCTAAAAATGATCTTAACAGTCATATGAAAAATAAAAAGAATAAGAGATATTTTGAATCCTTCAGTTGAAGAAACCAATTAATATTCAAAGTAAGAGATGAAACAAAGACTTACTTTGGATTTGTCTGACATCTGGATCTGAGTTTCTCCAGCGCCTGAGTAAATGTATGACCATCATCAGAGCTTGTAATAACATAAGCAACAGGAAAGGCATTCCCTTGGTTATCCCTGACTACCAATACATAGACTGCATTTCCATACTGTCTGAGACCTGAAAATTTATAAAATATAATAAAATAATTGAATCCATCCTCATCTGAATATAAAGAAAAGGAAATGATTTGCATATACCAAATGAAAGATGACTTACCTTCATAGTTTTTCTCAATAAAGACTAAGTGTTGTCCATGCAGGTTGAACATGTCCCTCTGCTCACTGTTCTGGAGGACAACAATCAATGGCCGTGGATTAGCACCAGTAGTTGTTCTTGACTGATAATACACACAAGTCTCTCGGTATTCTGTTCTTAGAAGACGCGTCACATTGTCTTTGTTAAGTGTGTCATATTTTCTTGGCTTCTTAGATTCTAGGCTGTTATTCAATGGTACCTTAATCGGCTTCTTTAAAGAAAGGGCAAGCTGTTGGATATCTTGCCGAGAAGGAAAGTACCGTCGATTCTTGTGATCTGTGTGCTTATGGGCCTTATTCCATTTTGCTATTTCATTCATTACATCGCTCACTTTCATGCCCCCTTTCAAGTGTGACTCAATGATAAGCCTCAAGGACTGATCAATGCGGCTGACCCTTGACTCTTCCCTGTTAGTTGGATCATGGCCGTTATGAACAAGTCTGTAGCGAATTATGCAGGCTGTTATAGTTGCACCCTCTTCAAACATGAATGAAACATAAGCAGTGCAACCATTTGCCCTTGTCTTGGTTGGGTCTCCTGAAGAATTTCCTGAAATGTAAATTATGAATAACAATAAATGGTCAATCATTTGAAAAAATGGTCATTATTTGATCTAGAAACCTTTTAGGTATATGCCTGTGTCTGGTTCTTGATTTAAACTAATCATGTAATAGACCTATATGGCTCATAGGGTGTTTTAAAGAATAGAATTACATGTTTAAAAACCTGGATATATAAAGTTGTAATCAGACTTACACTAATTTCTGAGCATCAAGACTTTTGGTCCCTTTTTTGAGTTCAAAAGAAATTTTCTTAACAAAATCTGAACTTTACCAAGATTGTATAAACTCCAGAGGTTAATGTCAATTACACTGATAATAAACAAATATAATTTTATTTTGTTACCATCTTTCCATCACATGATTCTTTGCTTTGAACATCTAATGCACATCTTTCAAAACCTGGTGGGCTGTTTTGACACTGTTTGCAATGTTAATGGAAGGCAGAGAGTGTGAGGAAGTAATTCTGGTACTGTCTCACATTCTGGTATTGTCTCACAAAAGTCTTCCAGTTTTGCCCCCTAAAACTCACCCCAATTACCCCATTGTCTCATATTATTTCACCTTCTTGAGCCAATTATACAAGCACTTCATGGGGCCTCTAATACCATTTGTATCCCCATTCCTTCTATATGCAAACCCATACCCCTTGTAACCTCTTCCCCTAGTGCCCCTTAAACAATATTACATTTTACCTAATGCACCGACTACTGGTATAGCAACTGTATCCTGGCAATAGTTATTTGTACACCCGTGTTCGGCGCATGGGTGGTGCAATTGTACTTCCACCTACAAACAAGATGGTTGAGTTGAAAAGATGATACCACACCCGATTTCCATATCAATTCAACATTTAGATCATATAAGTTTTCAAAAGTGTGTTGAATGATACGAGAAAGTCAACTATTGTATCCTCTACACCTGGGGATCATGCACAATTGAATCTCCTTTGAAAAGGACCCCCAAATGGTGTTTCAATGCAGCTCTAAAATTTGCTGAGTTTAAGTTGTGATGCATACATGGTAGTTAGGCTAGGTTTGGTTTGGTTAGGTAATTGCCGTATCCTGCATCAAGTCCCATACTTATCTACAGGAATCCCGAATACTACAGAGCAGTATCCAGCGCCATACTTATTACCCAGAAATGACGTTTATATGCGCATGTATGGGCCGTACACCTAACTGAGAAACTGTGATATGGCTGCTGTACTCATATCCTCAGCATTTACATAAGTGTCTCATGGTTCACTACTTTCTTTTAATGTTTTATTGCTCTCTCTCTCCCTCTATCTTTCCATCACTTTCCGGTCATTTTCTATAGCAGTAGCTTTTTTCAACTTTTATGCTCCATTGCTGAATAACTATGGGCCATATGAGTATGAGACATACACTTTCTGGTGTGTATATTCAATCTTTACAATAATAAAATATCAAAATGGACCTTGGTCATATACAACAGTTCGGTGCTTTTGAGGCTTGGCAGGGCAAGGCAAGAAACTGACATTTTCAAGGCTTAAAAAGTACCAGATTCAAATCCTGAGTCATCCGCTGTAAATTTTCTGACATTTCTACTTAACTATATATATAAATGCATATATCCAATATGTTTTTCATACCTTTACATATCTGACAAAAACAACAACATACCTTTACAAGCATTACTCCTCTCACATTCATATATTGTCTGTCTAGCAAAAATTTTAGGTTTACTAAATGTTCCTTTCTTTTGCTCATACAGTTTGGTAAGATAATCATAAATGAAATCTTGTCTGTCCTGGCTGACTGGAAGAACCTCCACGCCGACGCCCTTCATGATCCTGCTCCTTGTCCTGTTCACCGCCTCCTTCCTCAGCCGGCTCAGAAAGGCATCGGCTAAGCTCATGTAACAAATAGACTTCTTCACATCCATCCTGCGAGAGAAGCTGGCACGTCGAAGAGAAGTACATATCCACCGGCGTGCTGCCTCCTTTCCCCGTGCTTTGGTTGGTATTGAAGCTTCACGTTGGCGAAAACGTTATAACCCGGAGTTTCTTGGTATGAAGTATTCTTCTTCCTCCACCCATTAATGAAAAAAGTTCACTAATATACCAAATACCGGCAGTAGATCATGTTTTAAAGGTTTTCACTTCTGCTCGTACATCTTCTTTTCTTATTTCTGTAGGATTTTTAAGCTAAGATCCGTAAATATCCGCCGACTCTCTTCTTTCTCTTCATATCGTTATTTGCTGTTGTTCTTCTTTATTCTTATCTTATTAATTTTCTATTTACAGTGTATTCCTCCCTCTCGACTACAGACCACCTTCCCCGTGAGGTTTGTTTGTAAACATTGAAGATCCGAAGGAAATCCCACACACGACCCTACCGCAGAACCTCAATTAAATCGTCTTATATTCACTGATGTTCCTCTTTTAGGGTAAATGAACCACATTTTTAATATTATTGTCTCTTAATTGATGTATGATATTCATGACTAATACTCGAGTCCTGTAACTGGACAAGAGAAAGAGCGAGAGTTAGGTTTTGTATTTCTGAGGTGCATTTGAGTTCGGGAAACCAAGGGTAAACAAATCCAAAAAGTTCTTCAGAAATTGTTCCTTGAAAATCAGCCTTCAAAGATATACTCTTTTTACACTCAAGCTAAGAACCTCTGTCAACACAAGAAGAAAAGTTCCTCATTTTTAGGTGATAGTGACAGCAAATCTTAAAACATGTCTTTCAGGCCAGCGAAATGTGGTTAGAAGAACGAATGTTTATTCATCTGTAGGATAACATTAAGAACATTTTAAGAACTGACGTGAATGATCTTGAAGTGACGCCTGACAATGATATTCGGATGAAAGAACTAATTTCCTGGTGGTTTTCGTCATGTCTGGAAAGAAAGCAACATCTGTTCCAGTCTCAAACTAACCATAGATATGATACTGCTGATGTATGGGGAGGGCAGAAGGTTAGGGCTACCCAATGTGCATGCACACACGCACACTCTCACTCACGTTCTCACTCACACTCTCACTCACTCACACTCATACTCGTACTTGTACTCGTACTCATACTCGTACTCGTGCTCATACTCATACTCATACTCACTCTCACATTCACATTCACACTCACTCATACTCACACTCACTCATACTCACACTCACTCATACTCACACTCACTCATACTCACACTCACTCATACTCACACTCACACTCACTCACACTCACTCACTCACTCACTCACTCACTCACTCACACACTCACTCATGCACTCACACTCACTCACTCACACTCACACACTCACATTTACATTCACACACTCACTCATTCACACTCATACACTCTCACTCTCACTCTCACTTTCACTCACTCATTCACACATTCACACATTCACACATTCACACACACACACACACACACATTCACACACACACACATTCACACACACATTCACACACA